CAATAGGAGGCTATATAGTAGCAATACTAAGGCAATATGAGGCTATACAGTAGCAATACAAAAACTGTAATAGTCCATCTTATGTGGGAAATGCTGGGCAAAACACAATGTATATAATGTTCTCTCTTCAATGTATAATATAAGGAGAAGTATTTTTTCCAGAAGCAAAATATTTAGGTCCAATCGTCATGAAAAAAAAAAAGAACCCTACAAATGAACCCTGCAAAAGAGATGGCAAAACAAAAAAAATTACAGGTCCTCTTTGTTGTGCAACAACAATTTCATCAACAAATATGCAAGGTGCATTTTCCATGGCCTTCTTAAAAAGATAGCAAACTCATGAAGCACTAGCACCAACAACAACCAAAGGTTAAGGCAATAAGCCTAGCAATAACTCATAGGTAAGCCTAAATCTAAAACACTGAATGATGATGGCTGTCATACTACAATTTCTCTGTACACTCTTTCCAGTCATCAAAGAACTCTTTTTTCTCACCTTATAACTGATATGGTTTATGGCATCTGCCTGCAACAACCTACAACAATGAAACATAATTTTAGAAAGAGAAACAAGGAAGGTTATAAGAATTGGAGAGCAATTCCAGAGTGGACTGTGGAATGAACAAAGCAGTCTTGTAATTGGTGAACCCATTATCCATTATCCAATTCCTCTACAAGCACAATCTAACTTTGCAAAAAGTGTCCTACATTGTAGAGGAGTGTAATTAAAGTAAGTGGTGGACATCAAGCACAATCTAACTTTGCACAATTTAACTTCGATTATTATCTTACTAGATATCAAGCGTTTGCTTCTACTTAAGCTCACCATTGCTGATTCAATATTATGGATGCAGAGAGCTCACTTAGTAGTTCTTTATATCAATTTATGTAGTTCATTCAAAAATCACATCCCAAAACATAACAAAACAAATTCAAATCATAGCAGATTCTTGAAGATGCATAACACTTTCTAGTGGCCCGAATGTTCCTTTATATTAGATCACACAACTCCTATAAAACCAAGAGACCATTGAACCAAATAATTGTGTTTCTTCAATTGATTTCTTGTCAGAATAAAAACATAACTCAGTAATAAATTCAATCAGCAAAAGAAAAACTTCAAAATCATTTTAGCCTGGACAAGCTTCAAGCTTCAAGCATAATATTCCTTACGACAAACAGAGAAATATTTGTTGCACAGTCCCAAAATTTTGGCTCAACAAGTTTTTGTATAATCCTACTTAAATAACATTCTCTACACAAGCTGAAAATATTAATTTTAAAAAAGAGAGAGAAAATTTTAAATTAAACCCACAATTATGTTTCAACAAATTTATGTACAATCTCACTCAAATTTGACTTGGAGGGACTTGAAGTGACATTAAGCACCAAAAATTCCAACCCATATATGAAATTGAAACAAGCAGAAGAAAACCCAAATAACATATGGGTGTGAAAGTATAGCAGAAAAGCTAAGTACCTGAGATGCCATGGATTTCAGGAAAGCTGAGAAAAATTGAGAAATTTGTTGAATCAGAGGGGAAGAACGGCAGTCGAAAGAGGTGACAGAGAGTGAGAGATGGAGGTGGAGAAGGGCGGCCGAAAGAGAGAGGGTGAGGTATAGCATTTTATTGCTTGTGTATTGCTGCTGTATTGCCCCCGTATATCTTTTTTTTTTTTAAGTCTGTGTTGGAATAAATTTATAGGGGGCGTATAGAGTTTGTATATTGCCATTGTATAGCCTTTTATCGCTTGTATATTGCTATTGTATTGCCCCCGTATATCTTTCTTTTTTCAAGTCTGTGTTGGAATAAATTTATAGGGGGAGTATGTGTATTGCCATTGTATAGCCCTTTATTGCTTGTATATTGCTAGTGTATTGCCCCCGTATATCTTTTTTTTCCAAGTCTGTGCTGGAATAAATTTATAGGGGAGTATGTGTATTGCCATCGTATAGCCCTTTATTGCTTGTACATTGCTAGTGTATTGCCCTCATATATCCTTTTTTTTTTTTTCAAGTCTGTATTACGGGTATGAAGGTAGGGATGGGGGACAAAAGCTTCACGGGGATGGAGATGGGAATGGCATACCCACCCCCGATTCGACCCACTGAATCAAAAACTTTGAATACACAATTTAGGCCCGAAAATGACAGATTTTAACAACAATATAGCAGATAGAATACGCAATACATACCAAATAATGAAAATTTAACAGAATTCACAATCCACAAAACACCAAACGCAATACAAATACAATTCAAATTCACACTCCATAATTCATAATGTATGTCCAACATTAGGTAGTGGAACATTGTTTTTACAAGTGCTTTTATTGTGGCCTGTGCCACTGCACCTTGAGCATTTTCTCCTTATGATATCCTCTCCTTGCGATGGAATCCTTAGCTTCTTTCGTCGGCCTGGCATGACCTTTGCATTGGGAGGATGCACAACTCTACTTTGGACATCTTCAGGAATAACCCACAACTCTTGAGGTTGTACCGGGTAGATGGTATCTGAATAAGCATCCAACCATGTATTTCGAGTGTAATAACGAGAAGCCATGGAGTATACATTTAGTTTCAAGAAACGGCAAACTGCAACTACATGCTTGCAAGGTAGTTGCTCAAGCTGAAACTTCCTACAACTGCAAGTGTTATTCGTCAAATGTACGTGGCCGTCCATATCACCGTCCACGACATTATACTCTACGTGATTCAGTTTCACAACATTCATCCTTGAAGCACATTCCAACCTGTGTCTCAGCTTCTTCTCGCCAAAGTCAGGGCACAATGTTGATGTACAATTCAAAGCAAAATCACGACGTTTACTGAACCATTTCACAAGCAGTTTGATGATTTCATCAATCAAATGCACCACTGGTAGCATCCTTGCAAACCGAAGGACTGAGTTGATTGACTCCGCAATATTTGTTGTCATTACATTGTATCGACGTCCATCCATATGAGCTCTAGACCACTTGTGTAATCCTGCACTTTCAAGATATTGAGCAACCTCATCATTTCCCTTTATCTTACGAAAATGACGATCAAATTCAGCGATACCATAAGATTTCGCAGCTTGTTCAAAGTATAGCAACAATTTATCACGTTTTTTCAGTTTGAAAGTGCGTTTCATGTTACCCTTCATATGGTAAAAGCATATGCCATGTTGTGCTGCTGGAAAAACGTTGTGCCACACATTCTCTATGCTAATATTCCGATCAGAAATAATCACAAGATTTGGACACTCACCAATGGCTTCATGAAGCTTACTAAAAAACCAATGCCATGATGCATCCGTCTCTAAATCCCCAATTCCAAAAGCAAGAGGATATATATTTCGATTTCCGTCAAATGCATTAGCAACAAAGAGGACACCCTTATACTTACATTTTAAATGCGTGGCATCCACAGCAATGACTGGCCGCATCGAAGATTGAAACCCTCTAATACATGCCCCAACAGCCATAAAAAAATACAAAAAGTTATTGTTCTCATCGGTGTGGATGTGTGTCCTTGTGCCAGAATTCACACGCTCTAATTCGTGACAATAAGCTGGAAGGAGAGAATATGCCTCCTCTACTGAACCTCTAGTGGACATTACAGCTAACTCCCTCGATCTCCAAGCTTTGCAATAATTAATGGTGACCCCAAAGTTTTGTTTTACATCTCTGATTATATCACTTGGTGTGTATATTGTGCGAGAATCTTTCAACTTCCGTTTCACTGCATTACCAACGAGTTTAGCACTTGCGTGACGATGCTTGTCATGTATAAAACTCATATCACATTCATGGACCGGATTATATTTCACAATCATGAAGTTCTTTTCTCCATAACTAGATGCACGAAGCCGCCATGGACATGGACCTTGAGAACAAACCACAACCAATCGACTCTTGCAAGACTGCTTCACCTTAAATTCAAAGTGACCTCTCACTGCTGCCAATTGTAACTTGTTGGACAATGCTTCCTTACTAGAGAAAATTTTCCCAACTTCCAATTTTGGATCCCAATTATTCCGTGAATACGCACTTTCAATATCTTCTTCTTCATCATTTACAATACCCAAATTGTGCACGTTTTGTTCACCCATTTGTCTCCAATTATGTCGAATAGAAAGTTCAGACGTTGTTCCGAAACCCGTCACACCCACTTGTGAAAATGTCTCCAAATGGGCCAAACTAGGAGGGGTTGAGTGCATTTGCAAGCCATTCATTTCTGTACCATTATCACCACTATGCATCCCCTCCATCCCTGTAAAATCAATCCTGTTTAAATATTCTGTTCCAGAATCACCATGTATATTACCATTGCTTTCAACTATGGCATTTGAAGAACAGGCCATTCGACTCATATCTGTCATGATATGCATACGATCACCTACGACATTTTTCACTCTTATGTCTTCTATGCTCACTAGTAAAGGAGCCACTTTTGAAGGAATTACGTCACAAATGTACTTAATAAAAAATTTCACATCATCATTATCCTCAATCTTGATATGCTTACACTCATTCGAGGATATTGAAACTGAGAACTTTAAACAAAGCTTGTCTTCCCTGTTGTCTGTATTAACAATCTTATGCACCCTTTCCAAAAGCTCACCAAACGTGATGTTTCGCGAAATTATTACGCCTTTTGAGTCACCCCCTTCATATGTGCACATCTTCTTTGAGGTTACCCATTTTCCATTGTAGCAAACCAAAATTGCAATTGTGTCCATTTCTGACCATCATAAAATTTCCTTTTATTAACACATGTTAAGCTACCAATAAAAAATCTATCAACTAGTGGATAAACCATATGGATAAAACATCAATTAAACATCAGTAACCAACAATTTCAAAACATCAGCATTATGCAAAGTGAAACGGTTCAGCTAGCCTAGCTGTGTTTCAAGCTCCAGCAAGGAAGGCATGTGTCAAGAACTCTTAAAGTTAAAACAACCCAAAACCATTAACCTAGGGTATCATATTACTAACAAATTACTTACAAATTGCCAAACCTTGACTGTCCAAGGTTGTTTCTTATCGAATATCATACCACCCAAAAGAGTGAATATATCATTTTCAAGGAGATCTGTAAGTCCAAGTCTCAATCACAAAACAGGTATAAAGACAAATCATAAGCACAAAACAGTGTATCCAAGTCCAAGAGCTTAACAACTACAGGAAATAGTTGGTAAATTTCATTCAATCACAGAAATAGCAAGCCAAAACAGAAACCCATTAATGTCTCATTCAAAACAATGAAAGCAATCACCCAATAATCTCAATCAATTAAAGAAACCCAAAACAAAACAAAACCCATATCAGAACTCACCACAGTGATGATAGACGATGAAGTGTCGTGGCTTTGTGGTGGAAGTCGACGACGGAGGTGGAAAGTCAAGACTGTGGCTTCGTTGTGGAGGCCGACAAAGGAGGTGGTGAGTCGCACCTTGGCTAGGGTATGGTTCCAAATTTGGGGTTCAACCTTGAGGTTGAAATCAGCCCCTACTTGGAAGATATAACTAAGAGGAGATAAAGTTAGGGGAGATTCTATGGTGGTGGAGGTGGATTTTGTGAGGTTTGGCAGAAGGAAGAAGAGGAAGAGAAAGCGTAAGGACTGTGGAAAAAAAAACACAATAAGCTGTCAATATGGAGTTTTTATAGGGGGTATTTGTGATGGAGTTTCAAAATGGGGGTAATATTGAATAAATTAGCTGCGCCAGGGGTAAAGCCGCCAATTTCCCTTAAAAAATAGCACAGCCGATAAGGTGCAGCAGGAATCTACAGGATCAGAGGGCATGGGAAAGCATCACTTTGTCTTCAAGATGGGCACTGACTTCCAAAAATATAAAATTCACAATCAGAAATTGACATTATTGTCATAGATTTTAAAGAACTATATATGCATACAAAAAAATGCCTTTAAAATGTGGTGCACACAAGGCAACAAAATAAGATGCCAAGTAGAAGTAGGCAAGTAGATGGCAAAACATCATTACATAAGATGCCAAGTAGAAATAGGCAAATAGATGGCAAAACATCATAACAGACATGGAGGGTTAAATTAGGCAAGATCTTGGGATAAGCCCAATTCATTATCTATACTTAGCTTCAAATCTAAACAAACCTAAAGTCCTTAGATAAGGCCCTATTTTTTAACTATTGTTGATTCAACAGCTAACTAATTTAATCCAACATTCTACAACTCGAGCAGAGTATTGCATTTCTCAAAAACCCAAAAAAGAAAAAAGGTCCCATAGCCAAAACATTCAAGACCCTTTTCTGTTAAAAATAGCCCATTTACAAGAACATTCTTGCAGATGGGGCTACCTCAGCTGATATTGTATTCTATTTTTGCTCATTGATACTTTTTTTTTTTGCCAGATTGCTCATTGATACCTTACCTTTGCTTTGCCTGTTGAAGAGAATTCTAGATGTTAAGAACAGCTGGTTTCCCAAAATAATGAACCACAGCTAGCATTTGCTTATTGTCACGTATGAACACTAAAAACACACATCATAAATACCTTACTTCCAAAGCTTCCAATCTTCTTTCACCTTTACCATCACTTTTAAAGACATAAAGAGAGGTTAAAAGAAATTGAAATTTTACGAATTCAAAATGGTTGAATGAAAACAGTTGAAGGAAAAGAATTCGGAACGTGGCGATTACAAGGTTTAAAACTTTGATGTTTTACAACGCTCACCCTATCAATCCATGAAATCTCAGTTACTTGTTTTTTGGTCTTACATTGCATGGTTTTCATTGGTCAAAATGTTTTCCAGGCTTCAACCTTAACCAACTGGACTTTCAATGTCTATTTTGAATAAGAAATTACTGGAAAGCAATACTAAGATAGTAAGTCACAAAATTCACTCAATGTCTATTTTGAATAAGAAATTACTAGAAAGCAATACTAAGATAGTAAGTCACAAAATTCACAGCTCAAAAAGAAAATGCTCTCGGTTGGAAACACATAAATACACAACTAAACCACATTGAACTGGGAATGTGTGGGTTCATATGATTTTTTTCTAGGAGGAAGAAGTGATTTGCCATACTTTCCCTTTGAGTCCCTTTGCGTCCTTTCCCTAGCTCCTTGTTTCTTCTTCTTCTACTTGGAGTTCACCATTCTTGCAATCTCTAAGTCACAAAATAATCAAATATATTGAAACAATTTATAGAAATACAAACATATGCAGGAAGCAAGCAAGCAAGCAAGAAACTTACGGCGTGAAGCTGAATTTGACCTGAAAATGCCAAGCTTTGCGGATGTACACATCGCGAACAGTTGAATGCAAAATCTCGATCTTGCTACTTCCTCCGCTTCCAACAACGATTCGGAACGTGGTGATCCACAGAGGCTGACGATCATTCCTCCTGTAGTCATAGGCAGTCTGGACAAGACAAAAATCCCAGCCCCCCAAATGAACCAAATACTCTGTCTGAACACCAAAATCCATGTATGAAGGGTACATTCTTTCCAAACCCGGAAGCACCAACTTTGGGGTTAAAGAATATGCTTCACAATCGAAGAAAAATTCAATAACCACCCCAAATATATTAGATGAAGCATACATTCGATTACCTAAAACCACCGCCCTCCCTCGGAAAGGAAAATGTGATAAGGCCATGCGACTAGATAAATCTGCTTCGACATGGCGCCATTCCTTAGTTCTTACATGAAATGCAATGAACTTAGATCCTAAGGCGCATCTTAACGAAAGCAAAATATTGTCGTTGTAAACAGCATAACCAACTATCTCCACTCTTTTATCAGAAATAAAGGAGGGAACAGGTGGAAGAAACTCCCAACTGTCATTGTGGGGATCGTACCGCTCAAACACTGATTCTGGGTTTGGCCTATACGGAGAGGTTATAGGAATTGCAAGATTATATAACTTATCATATGCAGAAATCACAGCTCCAAGTGGCTTAGGTACTTTGGGGCCCTCGAAGGTAGAGAATGACTTGTTTTGTATGTCAAAAACATGTCCCTTCAAGGAGTCCGGTGTCATGAAGGAGCGAAGAGGACTAACTTGCATGCCCTGTCTCAGCAACAAATACAACTTGGAGCCACCGAATAACTCTGTAGCATCACAGAGACAAATGTTCGGGATGGAGTAAGTCTTCTTGTTGAAGAAGGTGGTTACAGGATCAATCAGTGGGGCTTGATCTTTGCCATAATTAACTCCAATTGCTCCTCCTCCTTCCCCCATAATTTGTCCAGATCCTTTTTGGATTTGAATTTCATATATCTCACCTTGATATGGGCTTGCACAAGATGTCACCAATACATATAAAGATTTATAACCATGACCCTCCATGTACGCAAGTAAGCACGGAGAGACTGAAACAAGGTGATTAATTATTTAGCACAACATTGAAAGCCCAATGTAATGCAGAGAAAGACATAGGAGTTTAATTCATCAAGCTAAATAAACATATTTTGCAATTATATCAAATCCTAACTTCAACTGTGTGTTTGTAAGACAACATGTGAATTAAGAAAAATATCCGCACCAAAATCAGTATAAAATAAATAATATCTGCACCAAAATAGTATATCAATAAATATATGCCTATTCCTATTAGCCTAATGTCCACGGTCATGTTATTCAAGCTTTTGAGAAGAACAAGTAACGACAATAAAAGATTACAAAAAGACACAAATGTCATAGATTTCAAAACGTGTAGACATATCTCGATCTCTTTTGTATCTTCAACTCTACCCTCACTAGATACCAAAATCAAACCCTAATCAGTTATGTATATAGACTCAAGCAATTCAAATTGCGTCCAATAAAATGCAAAAGCAATATCAATACCATATCAGAAGAAACAGATGAAACCAAAAGTGAAATAAAAGCATCAAAAGAAACACAGATCGTTGACAACAAAAAAATATACATACGTGCACAAGGGATTGAGGAGATAAGAGATAAGAGATGCTGACCTGCTTTGGATTGAGAGGAGAGAGAGTCAGACACGGACGCAGACGCGAACGCGGAGGCAGTGGCGTTGGGCTTTACAGACGTTTGGATGTATTGGGCACTGAACTTGCTGCTTTGCAGGAAGGACCTTCTCGTGCAGGTTAATAATTGTCATGGTATTATAAACTATATTTTCTTATATAACCAATCGACATGTGATAATAATTTAATCAAATAAGTCATTTAATATAGATTGAAATTTAGATACATACCTGGATTTGAATATGACGATTTGATCTTGAGTGGTCTTTATGAATTTAGGACTTAGGGTTTTTCCTTTTTGGTGTTGAAATTCCTAAAATTGAAAGAATAACAAAAATTGTCAAAGAATTGAGAAAACAAAAAAAGAACCAAAGAAAAATTGATGGATGATGATGATTACTTAACAGAAAATAAGGGTGTATTCAATTTAGATTTTAAAAGATTTTAAAGAAGTTTAAAAGTTTAGGTGTATTCAATCACGATTTTATAAAAGTCTATTCAATTCAGATTTTTTAAACTCCATTCAAATTTGGATGTATTCAATCACGACTTTAAAAGACTTCATAAAAGTTTGGGTGTATTCAAAAACTCATTGATTTTAAAGGAAATACAAAAAGTGGTGGATTTCGTTTGATAATAGACTAATTTTAAGCCATGAAAAATCTTTGCTTCCCCCCAGAGATTTTGATAGATATATTATTTTTATGCTCAAGATATAATTTCACCACTTCTACTACCACTATTTTATCATGACTATCACCATAGCCGCCCCCGCCACCATCACCACCACCACAGTCATCGTCGTCGCCGCCACCACCATCGTCACCCCCTAGCACTACCACCACCATCGCCACCTCCACCACCACCACCACCACTATTGCCAACACCATCACCATCACTGCCTCTGCCACCACCACCACCTCCACCACCCTTACCCCTACCTCCACCACCACTACCACCCTCACTATCAGCCCTACCGTCACCACCACCACAACCACTGCCAGCATCATCACCATCACTGATTCACTGCCATTGCCATCGCCACCGCCACCACCTCCACCACCACCACCACCTCCACCTCCACCTCCACCATCACTATCACCCCCACCTCCTCCACCACCTCACTGTTGCCGCCAGGCACGGTCCTACACCCAGGCTAACCTGGGCTGTAGCCTAGGTGAGTTTATTTGTTGTAGGCTAAAATAATACCACAGTCCAGCCCACTTGACATCCCCATTCCAGCCAATTAAAATCCCATTAAGAAACCTACCCCGCATGTCTGACTAATAAGTTAATAACAATAAAAAAATTAAAACTAACCCCACACACAAATAAAATCTCATTAACAAACTTGCACTACACCACGTCTCACAAATAAAAGATACAAACTAACCCCAAACTGGATTTACAATTGAGACTTATGAATTATCAATTAGGGATTTTGTTAGTTTATATGTTTACATCTTCTATATATTATTCAATAGGTTATACTTTATATAAGCGTTATTTGTATTTGTATTTTGCATTAGATGCATTTTGAGGAGTAAGACTCATTATGTCCCCCATGTATTTTTTTGTTATCAATGAAATTCAATTTTACTATCAAGTTTTCTATAGGTTTGTATGTAAGGTAAATTTAGCCCACGCCACTTTGAAATCCTGGGTCCGTCCCTGGTTGCCGCCACCACCACTACCACCCCTACCTCCTCCACCACTACCTCCCCCACAAACCACCATCGCCACCGCCATTGCCATCACCACCATTGCCATCACTATAAACTCCATTAAAATCAATAATAAAATTCTAACAAACTCAATTAAAATCTATACACGAATTTAGCCAAAATCTATGTGGAGTTTGTAGAATTCAGTCAAACTCAATTAAATTCAATTAAACTCCATCAACTTTATAACTATTTTAAAATCATTTAAAATCTAAATTGAATACACTCTTTTAAGAAAAAGAAGAAGGCATTATGTTTTTTTGTTTTGTTTTGAGTTGAAGAAAAAACTTTTTTTTTTAAGGAGAAAGCATGTTTTTTTTTTCAAGAACGATAGGAAAGGGACGAGAAAGCGTTTTGGGGATATATATTTCTGCTGGTTAGTTAAAGTTTGATAATTCCCTTTTTTCACGTATTTCTGTTTTTTTTAAAAGCTTTTCTGTCAATATGTAGCACACTAGAATATAAAATATTAATATCATATAATACAAACAAAAACAATGTCAGGGGACCTGTCGCAAGGCCGCCCCGGCGCCCCCTCAGATCATGGCTTACCCGCGGTGGTTTAATCATATTCAACTAGCCTCTTACTCGCAACAAGCATTGTTACTAGTTTCTGGTGGTGCTGAGTCTTGGAGTAACTATGGAAATCTAATTGAAGATGTACGGGTTCTTTTGGTGCGGGTGGGTGTCACTGATGTTCTCTTTCAACCTCGACAGGGTAAATGGAGCGTTACACTCTCTTGCTCAATTTGGTTTGCAAGAAGGCAGGTCTTTTTAATCAGAAGAATCAACACCATTGTGGCTTTTATCTACTCTAGAGTCTGATATCAGTGAGCAGTAGTTACTTGTTAATCTAGGGGTGTGGTACTCTTTTTCCTTGGCCAGATTTTTCCCAAGGAAGCTAGGGACTGTTAGGTATAAAGGTTCGTCATACCATAAAGAGTTTTTCACATAAAAGGAAAGAACAGGATTTCAGGGGGAAAAGAAAACTTGTCTATTTCTCATTCTGTATATTAGGGTTTTCTGAATTTACATTCATCTTGTATAACCTTTACAAAAGAATAGCACATGTATATAGAACCTACATAAGAATAATCTAGAATAAAGAATATGCCTATATTCCTACTTCATCCATATCCAATACATGCTGGCTTTGTCCTGGATGAGTCTTGGGTGTCTTGAGTGATTCCTTGGTTGTGTGACTGTCCTTTTTCTTTGCTGCAGCCTTGGGTGTCTTTGAGTGTCTGTATTTTCTCCTCTATTAAAATGACGGACAATCTCATTACCTTTTGCATCCCCTCTTGGATAAATAAGTCCTCCCTTACAGCATGTCTGTGCTTCCTAGTTCCAACCTAAGCAAACATATATATTGTGGCTAGGTTTTTAATTTGACTTCCATTGGGCTTCCAACAATGAAGGGACAACTACCTAAAACAAATGATTTTATGCATTGATTGTGTCCGGCGAATCAAAATTTGCTGCATGACCTGTGTCCTTGATTCTCTCTAATTTTGATTTGGGGCATAAACAAAGTTATATATAACAAGTTAGAAACCTTAAGCAGAGAATGCTTTTCAAGAGAAAGAAAATTGAGACTACTCAAGTTACCTGAGTTAGAATAGGAAGGTTTGAATCTGCTCTTTTGGCCACCAAGTGTTCAAGGAACCCACTTGAAAGCATCATACTTATACACAGATCGATTCACTAACAGCCGTAGATCATGTGGACTTTTTGGTAAAAGAATCTCCAAAGCATCTGAATTCACACTCAACAGCTCATCCTTCTGTTCATCAGTCCAAACTACCCCACTACTCACAATCACAACATTCTCCACCATCTCTGGACACATCTCAGCCATCCAATACGCCACTAACCCGCCATAGCTAAGATCGTAAACCGAAAACCAAAACCAGACCTGTTTATTGAACCGCCTGTGGTTGGCTGTCCAGAAGTGCATGGTGGTTTGGTCATCAATGTCAATGGTACAAGGAGATAGGCCACATAGCCTAAAGTATAGTGCTACAAGAGTATCTGGAATTCTGAAGAACATTAAATCCCAGTCTGTCTTGAACAAAACTGATATGAGGCAGTGGAAAATTGTTGATGTGGCTGAGAGGTAGTAGGAGAATGCCAAATATAGTGTAATTGAGAGAGTTGAGAATGTATAATAAGAAGAACAAGATAGGTTTTGCAGAGAATTCAAATCTGCCAATTGAGTTTCTTACTTAGTGAAGGGTTAGATATACAAGTATACAAGGTGATTATTAGTTACAAACAATGCACAAGACATGGAGGGAAACATGGAGAGTTTCCATCCCTAAAACAAGGAATATGAAAACAAGGAAAAGTAACAAGGTGGTAGACAAGCCATTTAGGGATGTCTATGTTTTGTCTTTGACTTTACTAACAGAGAAGACATTCCAAAACTTTTGGTAACCCATGGAATTGATTTTTATTGTTGATGGTCTTGCTGTACTTTTTCCCTTGGTTTCTAATGCAATATTGTTTATTGAGTGTCTTCATAAACTAAGCTAATTTACACAAACTTACTAGAAGACCAACCAACATGTATTATATTTTAAAAAACCGAAATTGTTGACATGTGAGTCGAAATCTGGGTAGAGATCTCGTATTCTTCTTTTTTAAGAAACCCTTGTTTGTTTACCAAAAGAAAACCAATTACAAAAGCATGCTTATATAAGTATTTTTGGGTTGAAAATGTGACATAGTTTGAAATCGACTAGAGAATGGAAAAACTTTTGTTTGACGTTTACTAGCTACCAAAATTTCGAGGTGGAATGGAGTGCAAATTCAATGCAATAAGATATATCCAATATCAGAAATTGACATGATATATTTTCCCAAGATAAGTATCAATATTCGTAGTTGAATTGTCATCATGAGTTTGATTCTATGAGGTGTTTGCATGTGATGAACTTTTTCTCATTCAAGTCAAGCACAACTCACGTAATTGAGGAATGAATTAAAGAATTATGCTAGCAACAGTGGCCACACGCACAGATGACTTCCAACTATTAAGAAGCCTATTAAGTTAAATGTGTTCTTTCAACTTGAGATGATACAGTGTGGTAGCCTAGGTGCCATAAATTTTATAACTAAGATGAGTGTGATCGTTGGTCATGCACATTGATTTCTAACCATAGATGCATATGGACGCATGCACCAACGACCCATATACAAACAATCCTAGCAATTTTCATCTTATAAATTGTTCAAAGAAAGTCCTTTAACCTGATCACAAGCACATCAATTTCGCTTATTGGTCATATCTCTATATGGTGTGACCGTGTGAATATATCTCCCATTGTGTTTGCTTGTTTTGTGTAGGGAGTGAGTGACACAAACAGCAATTTCTTGACAAACAAAAGTTACATCAATATTCAAAGCTTGCTTGCTTGCAAAAGTTAGACCATCTCACAGCTGTAGCTGCATAAATTAATCAAAGATGACCCATAAAGCAAGCATAACCCTGTTTCTGTGTTTGGGTTTCTCCTCATTCCAACTTCACCAATAACATGAAAATATCCTACTTATATACACATTTTTGCTCCATCTGTGGCCAGCAGCAGTCTCTGTTTAACCCAAAACTAATACATCATCCAATAGATTTGATAATGCAAGTCTGCCACACTAAGAGTAACCCAAAACAAATGAAGTTATCAGAGCATTCAGGGAAATGGGTGAATCCATATTTACTGCATGACCTGTGTCCTTGATTATCTCCACCTTTGATTTTGGCCCCAACTGCTTGTAGATTGAAAAAAAAACATTAACAATAGGTTCAGATTGGTTTCAAATCCTGATTAAATTTGATCATGAAGATGAAATAAATTAGTTTAAAGACACCTTTGCAGCTGATAGGCCAAGTACACAGGGAAGACATCATCTTTGTCTCCCCAAATTATCAGTGTTTCCTTCACACAAAAATAACATTCATTTACAAGACTGAAGAGAAAGATTAATTAGGCTAAGTTTTTAAATTATGGCTAAGTTGATTACCTGAGTTAGAATGGGAAGGTCTATATCTGCTTTTTTCCTCAGCAAGTGCTCCGCTAGCTCTAATTTCTCCTTCCTGTGTTGTTTATAGGTCACCTGCATATGCAGCATGCAAACCTTTATAAAATTTAGGAATTGATATATCTCAGAAATTCAATGCTATTGGAATTATAGGAATTAGTGTGACGGATAAATGTTCACCGACCAGGCACATCAATCATTACGTTATTGACAATTTGACAATATAACATGCAATTATGCCATGACGGATGCCAATACCACTGAAGAATAAATAACTATAATCTACCATGTAAGGGGGTGTTCTAAAACTGAAGGAATTAGACTCACATTGATGAACCCATGAAGGAAAATATCAGGGACCCACTTAGAAGGGCCAGGTTTGTGCATTGTCAGATTCACCAAGAGCCTCAGATCATGAGCACTTTCAGGTACAAGGAGATTCAATGCATTGCTTCCAACCTTATTGATCTGCTCTCTTTTCTGCTCATCTGTCATCCCAACCCCACAACTCACAACTACAACCTTCTCCACCAACTCTGGATACATCTCAGCCATCCAATATGCCACATACCCTCCATAACTTATAGAGTAAACAGCAAATCTCTCCACCCCTAATGTCTTCAACGCTTCTGCCACACATTTTGATTGGAAAACCTCTGTCCTTTCTGGCCTGTTGGTGTAGGATTTGCCAAAGAACAATAGATCAGGTATGTACAGATTGAAACTTTGGGAAAGTGAACCCACTTGATGGATGAATTGCCACTTTGAATTGCCACCATACCCATGAAGCATTACAAGAGCAGGCTTATTGGACCTCCTAGAATTTGCAACCCAAAAGTTCATTGTAGTTTGGTCATCTAATTCAACTGTGCAGGGACAAAGACCACATGATCTCAAGTATAGAGATAAAAATGCATCTGCAAGTGTGATTAGGAGTGTGATTGGATTCAAATAAGGAAAAATGGAAATCAAGAATTGAGAAATGGCTATGATGGTTGCAAGGTAGAAGGAGAGGACATTATACAATTTTGGGTAGGCCACGGCCATGGATTAGAACTGAGAATATGAGTGCTCTCTGTGTGATTGCTTTTCCTCTTTGGCTACTTACATTGGCATTTTGTGCTATGCTTCACGCATTCACCATACAAGACTTAAAAAGAGAGTGAAAGACATCCCCCATTTGTGAGGTAGAGGACAATTGTATAACCCACATGCATGTTCTTTTGGATGATGAAACCAATCATGCCAACCTTAAAATGACAAAAAGGAAACAATGAGATTGATCTGTAATTGTAAGGATATTAGGCTGGAGAGTGCGAATAACGGTAATTCGTGTCAGTCTCGCATTTTTGTAGGAGTGAATTAAGTACATTCCTGCAAAAATGCCGGTGATTGTTAGTGAGTTCTTATTGAATTTTTCTTTTCTCTTTTTTAATACTTTCTCTTTAGATTTTTTTTAAGAGATGTGTCGTTATGCCAATGACAATTGGGAATCATATAAAACTGAAGATACCTCAACTAAGCTAATCACTTTTTAATACTTAGTGACGCAAAAGTTGGCACTTTTCACACTAATTAAAAAGCATGTGTCATCTGGGACCAAAAGAATAGCACAATCGATAAGGTTCAGCAGGAAACTACAGGATCAGGGCATGGGAAAGCATCACTTTGTCTTCACGATGGGCACAGACTTCCAAAAATATAAAATTCACAATCAGAAATTGACATTATTGTCATAGATTTTAAAGAACTATATATGCATATTAAAAAAATACCTTTAAAATGTAGTGCTCACAAGGCAACAAAATAAGATGCCAAGTAGAAGTAGGCTAGAAGATGGCAAAACATCATAACAGATTTGGAGGGTTAAATTAGGCAAGATCTTGGGATAAGCCCAATTCATTATCTGTACTTAGCTTCAAATATAAATAAACCTAAAGTCGTTAGATGAGACTCTATCTTTTAACTATTGTTGAGCTAACTAATTTGATCCAACATTCTACAACGCGAGCAGAGTATTGCACATCTCAAAAATCCAAAAAAAGAAACAAGGTCCAATGGCCAGAGCATTCAAGACCCTTTTCTGTTCAAAATAGCCCATTTACAAGAAAATTCTTGCAGATGGGGCTACCTCAGCTGATATTATATTCTATTTTTGCTCATTGATACTTTACCTTTGCTTTGCCTGTTGAAGAGAAATCTAGATGTTAAGAAGAACAGCTGGTTTCCCAAAATAATGAACCACAGCTAGCATTTGCTTATTGTCATGTATGAACACACACTAAAAAAACACATCAGAAATACCTTACTTCCAAAGCTTCCAATCTTCTTTAACCTTTACCATCACTTTTAAACCCATCCCACCATTATTTTCATAATTTAGTCCCCTCATCTTTCTCATTTTTGCACTTTTTGGACGGCTGTCTATCACTTTTGTCATCCAAATACAATCATTCCAACCTAGATTCCTTAACCATGTCCTCCTTCTTAGCTCTCTGTATTTATAAATCTCCAGCCACATCTGATTTTATATATAGCTCATCATCAAGTTGGTTTTTCTCCAAGAAAAAGAAAAACCAAGCTTGAGTTTTTACTATTGAGCCCACCAATGGCTGCTACTAGCTATGCATACACAAGCCATAGCTCATCTCAAAGATCAACAGCCCTGGTGCTGGCTCTAGTATCTGCAATTGTACTTTCACCATTATATGTGACAACCAGAAAAACTGATGCAAGATATTATGAGACAAAATGGAGCTCTGGGTTTGTCCTTCCCATGGTCCTTGCTGGACTTATCATTGCCATTAAAACCACTTCTTCATCATCAAGTTCATCATCTTCATCAGCTCAAGGAGATTCTTTTGTTCCTTCTCCTGAACCTTCATGGGTGCTAAGAATTGGGAGCTCAAGCTGGGGGCTTGCTGGGGTTTTAGTATTGCTGATGCTTGTGCTTTCATGGCAAGGTTCTGTTCAAGAATTCTTGTGGAGATAGAGAGAGAAAAAAATTAAGTCCAATTCTATCTGTTGTTTTCACTTTAATGGATTGTACTGGAAAGTTATATTATATCAAATAATGCAAGTGGTATTAGTTAATGGAGATTTTTCTGCTTCATTCAAAATGTGGGTATTGCAATTCTCTGTGAAAAAAGTGCACAAACTGAATAATTAGCTGCAGTTATACTTCTAATACTTTTAGCTCAATAAACTTGTACCCTAACAATGTCTTCAATTTTCCTTCTCCTCCAATTCGAGAAATTTTTATATGTTCCGTGTACACTGACTACTTGGTGTACCCTCCAATTTTATTAATAAAACCCAAAACCATACAAAGATGAAATTGCTGTCAACTGTGCAAACCAGAAAGTGTTGTGAACTGTAGCTCCACCATGCCTTCAATTTCCTTCTTCTCCAATATCGCTTTTAATATCACTTTTATACATAAAAATAAAAAACTGTAAAACTAAATTAAAATACAAGGTAGATTCCACTGCCCCCAAAAAATATATATATTTATTATAAATAAAAAAAATTGAAGTTGGGCCTCATTCCAACTTTGAATGGAGGAAATGCTAAGCCCAAAAAGTCTTAACACTCTTCCATTGTCCCCAATTACCCAAACTCTCTCTCTCTCTCTCTCTCTCTCTCTCTCTGTCTCTCCCCATTTCCTCTTTCTTCTCCCGCGCACCCATCAGCAAAGCCCTAGTTTCAGTTTTATTCACTCATCACTGCTGTGTGTCTCAAGCAAATCCCAAGTCACAGAAGCCTCGATATCTCTAATTGGACGGCCATACAAAATCAGGTGAGCTACCTACTCTCGTTCCCTGCTGATTGTGCCTCTCTCTCCATTTTGAAATTCTTTGATTTTGGTAAATTTTATTTTGGATTTAGTACTTAGGACTTCCACTGAAGAAATTTGACATAAAATCCAGTACATCAATAGATAAATTCTACTTTTTTACCGAGCAGAATGGTTTTTGTGTTCTGGAAATAATCATATGATATAGGTTTGAAAACTTTCTCTTGTTCGATGGACACAATTGTAATATAAAATTCAACCTTTCCGTGTGCAAATTTGTGGAGGTACTGATGTGAAAATTTCCAATAAGCAGGGAAGATTGATTTGCGCCGTGAACCAAAATTTGATGCCTTTTTTATTTTTTTTATGGAACCCTTTTTGTATCTTGATAAAATTGACTCTGGTTGTGTATCCTTTTCATTTTTGGTGCTACAATATTTAACTTGCAGTGGTAGCAGCCTCTTTCATTGTTCTATTTTCTGTTCACTGCTTATTTGCCTCGAAGTTTTGTATATTCATCAATTACTGCCTCAAATTTGTGCTAGTTTGCTGTTCTAATTGTGTTATTTTGCTCCTCGAAATACATATTTCTGATACTGCTCTATGTCCAGGCTATTCTTGCTACAGTTTCTATTGTCCTTGGAGTAACAGAGCGGTGTAGCTTGCTGATTGTCCAGATTGTTGAAAGAAAAAGAAGTGTAGTAGTTTAGAGGTTTAGCCCATCCCAACTGCTCTGGCCCTGCCTCCCTGCCTAGCAGAAGTACCCAGAACCAGGAAATGGCAGGGGAAGATGAGGACTTGCCCAGAGATGCAAAGATTGTGAAAACGCTGTTAAAATCAATGGGTGTGGAGGAATATGAGCCTCGTGTTATTCACCAATTCTTGGAACTGTGGTATCGATACGTGGTTGATGTGCTCACTGATGCACAGGTCTACTCAGAACATGCTGGTAAGCCCGCAATTGATTGTGACGATGTCAAGCTTGCTATTCAGTCCAAGGTTAATTTCAGCTTCTCACAGCCCCCTCCAAGAGAGGTAATATATTTCACTCCCTTCCATTTCTTCAGCTAAATTTGAGTTCATATAACAAAATTGTATAACACTATGCATAAAAAAAAATGTACCCTTCTCGTTATGAAATCAATCAGCTTATGTGTGTTATTCAGCCATTATGGTACAAATTTTGACATTGTTAAGCAAACCCATCATCAGGTGCTACTGGAGTTGGCTAGAAACAGGAACAAAATCCCATTACCAAAATCAATTGCGGGGCCTGGTGTGGCATTGCCGCCTGAACAGGACACATTGATCAGCCCAAACTATCAACTGGCAATCCCAAAGAAACAATCTGCTCAAGCAGTGGAAGAAATGGAGGAAGATGAAGAACCTGCCGAACCCAATCCGCCCCAGGAACAGAAGCCCTCTGATCTGCCTCAGGGTACTCCCCAAAGGGTATCCTTTCCCCTTGCTAAACGCACCAAATGAGAGATTACATGGTACATCAATCAGCCTATGGGATTATAGTCCACAGATGTGAGATGAGACAGTTGTTCACTTACTAGGGATTCTGACTCGTATTGGATCTGTGTACTTGTAAAAGAATGTTCAGTTTAAATATTATGTTGTTTACTTCTGTAGTCGTTCTTTCACAATTATTTGAATGCTTTACGCCATATGGTCATTCATAGTGTTTTGAATCATTAATTGATTATGTGAAGAGAGCATGAGGCTTTTGTTTTCCCCCCTTTCTACAATTCAGGCTCAGGAAAGCTTACAAATGATCAACATCATGAGAGATTTTGTACGTTTTCTCCATCAGTTTCAGTCATCCGACAAAATACAGCAACTTATTAGAAGCATGCATTAAGCATAATGGAACCAATAAGATTGGAAAGGAGTATCATGAAGCATAATATTGCATTCAATATGTGAACTTCCAAGATAAACCGTTTTAACACCTTGTTGAATTCGGTTAGTCATCAAATAACAGAACCATGTAGCTGTTCTTTACAAATGCTTTTTTGATTTATATACAAGAATGACTAAGTGTCACTAGATACACCATAAATGAGAGACAATCGAGCAGGGGTCAACTTCTCCAACCCACCATACTACTAGAAGCAGGCCCTGTACTTGATACACTCATGCCCTGGTCGTACATGCGCTGAATCTCTTCCCTGTACTCTGTCAAAGACTTATCAGGAATTGCTGGAGTCAGCTCCACCACATCCCCCATCTGCAGCTTGCATGTAGGATCACTCACTGCCGCATGGTTCAGCCTAGGCCTCAGTTCTTCCTTCAGCGGGAACCCGTATGGTGTCCATCTCAGGCTCCCTCGCCCAGTTCTTTCCAGCAGATCCATGATTGTAGAGTTTGTAGGAAACTCTTGAACAGACATCTGCATAATTAGAACAAACAGAGTCAGATGCATGGTTAATAAGCACTTGTTATACATTTATCGAAAAATACTTGTGTTTTCCATACACTTATTTGAGTGTAAGCCAAGTACTTTAAAGTGAAAATAAATAAATA